AAAATAATATTTCAAACAAATTGGAAGATTGGTATTTACCAAACTAGAATTAAATGGAAAATCCAATTAATTCTCAGAAATCAAACTCACAATTCCTTTACTATTTCCAAATTTTGGATAAATGTATGAAACTCTTTATTTATCTTGAAAATTGAAAAGTCCGCATTTTTTAGAACATTCCATATTTACACTAGTACAATTGAAAAAAACTATTTTTTTCTATTTTACTTTCAAATCGAAAATAATTATACCAAATACTATTCAAAAAAAAAAAATTTATTTATGTATTAATTAGAATTTTATCAAGAATAACTAATCAAAACAGTTCTAATATAAATTTATTTTGGCAAAATAAAACGAAAAATTCAAAAAATTATAGTATTTTATAAATAGATTCTTCGTAATCGAACATTATTTTATTTTATTTTTTTTTTGGAAATTTCATCATAAATTAGGAGCTATTAAAAAAAAAAGACTATTTCAGAGAACTATATTAAAAATCTTATTTTCCAATTAATGATTTTCATTTTCAAAAAAAATTTTTAAAAGAATTTAAAATCAATTTTGGTTTGTGAATATGCCATTTTATATCAATTCCTTTCTAAAACTGAAGTACATAGTTTCGAGACGATAAAAAAATTAGTTATAAGTTAGTGAATGGAAGGAAACCAAAAATACAACAAATTTTAGTTTTTTTTTTTGGTTGCGAAGAAAAAACTTTTGGATCCAAAAATTTTTATCTATTGAATGACTCCAAAACCAAAAAAAAAAAATCACAATTTTTTATTATTCATGGAAGAAGTGTAAGTTACACTTTAAAAGTCCTTTTACATAAATTTGTACATATGATATTTAAGCGTAAAATCATAGATTTCATGATTTTTCAAGGGAAAGACACACCAAAAATTTTTTATGTTTAAAAAAAAAAGTAAAAAATAGAAAAGAAAAAGGAAAAAGGAAAAAAGAAAAAAAAAAAAAAAAGTTTATAAAAAGGGGTTTATAAGAAACAATTGGATAAAAAAAAATAAACTATCATAAATTAAGGACTCTCAAAAATCATACACAGGATACTTTTGGTTAATTTATATTTGTTTGAAAATTGATCATTAATGTTCAATTGGGGATTTTTATTCATTGTTATAATTTCTTTTTTTTTTCTGATATTATTCGCTTTAGATATTTGATCATTTTTAGCCTTTGCTTTTTCGTTTTTATCTTCAAGTTACTCATACTTTGGTGTTTGAGTATCACAGAATTAGTAAGTAATCACTTGATCTTTTTCCTTTGTAAATTTTCTTCCCTATATAAAGAAGATACAGACAGGGAGGAGAATGGAAAAAAATCATAATTCATAATTTTTTCAAACACCCTCAGAAGTTTAATCTAAAAAACAACAATTACTATTAGTTGAAAAATAGATTTTAACAAAAATTTTATTCAAATTCCCAAAAATTTTTACATAGATCTAATTCAAATAAATTCATTTGATTCTTCAAACTAGTTATATTATTATTTTCCCTTTTAAAAATGTAGAATTTGATAATTTATAGAATTATTGTTAAGTTCTTTATTTTGGAAACTATAAATGAAAATTTTAATTCTTTTATTTTATAATTTATAATAATACCAAAGCTTCTTATCAGAAATAAATATTTGAAAATGTTCAGGAACTTAAAAATCTGTTTTTAAAAAACTCAATGAAAAATTTATTCCCTGTATTTTACAACTAATACTTAGGTTCAAAAATTGATGTCTTAATATTTTAAGTTTTTTTACTAAATTTGTCATTTTTCAAAAAACTATAAAACTTTTCATATGCGCCCCTACAGGTAAGGTTTATTTTTAACAAACATGAGGTTTCTAATAGCAAAAAAAAAAAAAACAATTTAATGAAAGAATAAAAATGTTTGGGGTTGTTTTTGTGTTTTGATTTATGAAAATTATTTTCGATTTTTGAATTTCATTTCTTCCCTAAATAGTTTTATTCCAACCTTAAATCGAATTTTTCGCTCTTATGATCCCCAAGTACTCTAACAAAAAAAACTCGGCTATCGGGGGCATATATGAAAAGTTTTACAGTCAGTTTCACTTTTAAGGCACAAACTTTCAACGAAATTTAAGGCACTATAAAAATCTCAAATTAAGGCACAAAATTCAGATTCTAGTAAAATAAATTGTAAAAAAAAAAAATTAAAAACTTTGTGCTTTAATTTGAGATTTTTTTGTGCCTAAAATTTCGTTGAAAGTTTGTACCTTAAAAGTGGAACTGACTGTATAGTTTTTGGAAAAATGACAAATTTAGTAAAAAAACTTAAAATGTTAAGAAATCACTTTCTGTACACGTATAGTATTCAATATATTAACGCTAATAAAAAAATGAAAAAGAAAAATTAATTTTTCATTTTACCTTCCACTTTGTGATGGCATAAGGTATTTCCAAAAAAGTGTTACATTTTTTTTACATTTCATAAAAAATCATCTTTGTTAGTTGAGGTGTTGGTTAATTTGCAATATCAAATTAAGTTTAATATTAATACTGATTGAATCGATGACTAAGGTATTTATTTCAAAATATATTGGATGAAATATTTCCAAAAAATGAAAAAAAAAAAATAGCACTTTTTTGGGTGAAAAACAATGAACGACCAATTTCAAAAAAAAACTGGAAATATGGAAAAGATAAAATTGATTTTTTAAACAATAAAACACAGTTATATGTTTTCAATTATATATAAGAATTCATTGAGATTAAAAAAGTTATAAAAACGATTTTTTCAACCAAAAATCAAATAATTAACACCAATTTTTCAACCCTAAAAAATATCAGATTAAAACAGAGATCAGAAAATTTAATATCTTTTATTTATGTAATATAATACTAAAACAAATTGAATTATTACAAGAAATCTATAAACGGTATTTAATGATTTTGTATATTTAAATACTTTTTTGAAGATTGGGTTTAATAAATATATTTGAAAATAAATTTGCCCCACTTTTTTGGAAATAGCTTATATTAACACCCATAAATAAACTATATTACGTTAGGAAACGAAGAGGAACTGAAGTGGAGTGGGAGGGATTGTAATTTTTAACAGTATAATTAAATTTATCAAGAATATAAATTAAGAAAATGATTTTTAGAAGACAGTAAAATTTTCGAAAAAAAAACATAAAAATTATAAATTTTAATAAGATTTCAAAACAATATATTATTTTTAGGAGCCAAAAAATTTTTTGGACCTGAAAGTTATATTGTCATAACATGAAATTTGAATATTCCTTAAGGAATTAGTATCGCCATTGATTTCTCTATAATTAAAGTATGTTGTGATTGGGTGAAAATGATATTAATTTTTACTACCATGTTTCAAATAACTCTAAAAAATCTATAATATATGTTATTACACAATAAATTCTTACATTTTTGACTACTATTATAATCCAATTAATAAATGAAAATTTTTAGTTATTATTCTCCAAAATATTTTTATAGTTTATCAGTTGAAGAAAATCCAAAGATCTCTACAAAACTGTTTAGAAATGATATTTTTGGGCAATAGATGAAACTTCCTGAGTTGAACTCTGAGACAAAATTTTTCCTCAGTTAATTTGATAGTTACAGTTATAATTAATATTCGTTTTGGAAATTGAAATAAAAATTTCATTTATTAATTGGGAAATAACCGTAATAATCACTATTATAAATTTTCATTTTTGAAATTTTTTTTTTTTAAAATTCCTTTTCCAAATCTCAAAATAGAAACCCAAATAATAGTATTCCTGTATTTAATTCATCATTTTAGAACTTGTAAAAGAAACCATTTTTTTAATTTTGTTATTTCAAAGATTAACTTCTTAATCATCAACATAAAAACCCAGAGAATGAATTAATTTTGTATCATTTTTTATAAAGATATTTGCAAGATCAATATAAACAACATTCCAAAAATTTGGACACGGTTTAAACAGTTGAAAGAACAGCATTACGACACTTTAAATCCAATTTGGAAAGAATTTTGATTTACAAACTATTTCATTTTTTGTCTTTTTTGTTTTGTTTTCATTTCCTTTTTGGCAGTTACTTAATCTATTTCGTTAGATCTGGATTTTTTTTCAATGTTTGATAGAAGATTATGTGTTGAGTTTGTTAAATTGGAAAATCACATACAATTGGCCGATGTTATCTTATCATTTGATCGATCAATAATTATTGGTGAAATTTCAACAAATTTACAAATACATTTTTTGTTCAGCTCGTTGCATTATTTTGGACATACCTATTTTTTATTTTTGAGTTTTATATTTTTTTCTTTTATTTGGATTAAAGTGATTACTTATTAAAACATTAATACTGGGTAAATAGATGTTATTTTAAATTAAGTTTGGAAAAATACAATAAATTGGGTTTTTTTTGTCTATTTTTGATTTTGGGTGTGTCCAAATTCTTGGAATGGGGTTTATTTCTAATATTTCTGAAATAGTTTGTTAAAATTTTCTTTTTAATGGTTAATTATTTAATTTTCTGATAAAAAATACTTTTTTTTAGGAGTTAATCTACATTTGGCTACAAATTTAAGAGGGGTATATTTTTCAACTTCATAAGTCTGAATAAGGAAGATTCAACCTTTAAATTTGTGTCATATTTGTAGATTTTTTTTCTTAAATTGTTATTTTTTTACCGAATACAATCATTTTTAATTGATGGATATCAACAAATAGTATTACTTGACTAATCGATTTTTTAGAGACAGTTAAACGAGGTAATACTAATTTTATTAGACGCTAATAACAACATACTTTGATCCTAGATTTCTCCTTGAGATACACTAATCCCTTAAGTTGAAACTTTTTTAGATGTAATTGTTTTCATTTCTGAAAAATCACATAAACTTGTATTTGAAAAAAAAAATTTCTTGTGAGGATATTTGCGTTTTGAGATTACATGAGTTTAAATTAATGACCTTAAACAAAAAAAATAATAGAATAAAAAACAATAATGAATAGGGAGGGACTCGAACCCCCACCAATAAATCTGCAGTTTACCACTCTACCATTGAGCTACCTATTCATCAAAAAAAATTGTAAAAACCCTCTTTTTAAGTACTGTTTCATTGATTGACAATTTACTTCTTAAGAAAGTTGGAATAAAACTAAAAGAAATAAAATGTTCGACTTTGAAGCCTGTGAACTTTTTTCTCAAAATTTTCAGACGAAAAAATCAATTCTGGAAAGTTTAAGACAAAAAACAGTCTTACTGATATTTGGATTATCAATAGGATCAAATATTCACATCATTTTGGAATATTCTTGATCAAAAAGAGATCACAAATTGAAGCAAAACCTCTTTATTAAACACAAAAAGGAAAACAAAATTTTTTGAAACAATTTCTATTTATTTGAAAATAATTTCCTTTGTAATTAAACAACACTAAAAAAAAAAGTAATATTCGAACAACGAATAACTTTCAAACCAAAAAAAAATTCACAATTTTTTCAACACCTACAAAGAGTTTAAGCTCAAAAACAACAATTGTTCCATCAAAATTTCCAAAAAAAACATTTTAGTCCTCTCTAAAAATTATAAAACACAAAAACATGGGAATTAGTATCTACTGTGGTATCCAAATAACTGAAAAAAATTTGAAAATTAGAGTTTTTAAATTGACAAAGGGCCGTTTTGATAAACAATTGAAGATCTTCTGAAAAACAAACTTTAAATTTAAAAGAGTTATCTGCTAACTCGATAAAACTGAAAACAAAAAAGGGAAATTATGGGAAAAATAATTCATTTTATTTATGAAAACAGATTTTAATGTAAATCATAAAAAGTGAGAAAAAGAAAAAGAGAAAAAAATCAAGATTTCAAATTTAGAGGATTGAGCATCCTCCGCCTTTCTTTTTTTCAGGTTTTGGTGGCGACAAAACGGCTCTAATTGCTTCATCAAAAACAGCCTTCAAGTTCTTTTGGGTCAAAGCAGAGCATTCGATGTATTTGACTGCACCAATTTCTTTGCTCAATTTCATTCCATCTTGATAAGAGATTGGATTGAGGTTCTTTTCTTTAAGTTTAAGGATGGTGTCTTGGTCGTCTCGAAGATCCAATTTGGTTCCAACAAGGATTTTTGTAACACCTGGGCAATGATGAGAAATTTCTTGCACCCACTTAGCTTTGACATTTTCAAATGATGATGGGGAAATCAAAGAGAAGCAAATTAAAAAGACATCTGTTTGTGGGTACGACAATGGCCTTAGCCTATCGTAATCTTCTTGCCCTGCTGTATCCCAAAGCCCCAAGTTGATTGGTTCTCCATCAACCATCACATTTGCAGAATAGTTATCAAATACAGTTGGGATGTATTCACCTGGAAAGGCATTTGTTGTGTAACTAATTAATAAACATGTTTTACCAACAGCTCCATCTCCAACAACTACACATTTGATTGATCTCATTTCTTAGTTTATTTAAATTAAATAAAAAAGTAAGTTTTTGATAAAAAAATGAATTTTAAATAGGAAAATTTGTTTTTCAAATCTTTTTTTTTTTCTTGTTTTTGAAACTTTTCAAATTCACATATTAATGTTTATGAAGAAATTGAAAGACAAGACACTTTGAATTGATACAACACACCACTCCGGTATTCAAAAGTTATTTTGAAAGTTTTTTTTTGGATTCAAAGGGATAAACTAATTCTTCTCCTGTTTCCAAAGCTTTTTAAAAAAATTTCTCAAATGGTTTAACTTGAATTCAGTCACTCATAAACTAAAAATAAATCTTCAAGTAAATTTAATGCAAAACCAAAAAAATTTTACCGCATCTTGAAATTGAAAAACAAAGTAAAAATATGATAACTACAATACCAAACTTACTTTCTAAGCTATTTTCAGAAATGAATTATTGTTTTAAAAAGTCTTGATCCTTTTTTCTCATTTTTGAAAAGTTCAAAATTCAACATATTTCTGAATTGTTCAAAAAAAATTATAAATTACTTGAAAGAACAAAGAAATCTTATTATTTTTGAAGGATGTACAAAAATACACTTTAAAAAGAAAACGACTAAGTTCTAAAATAAACCCATGATAAAAAATCTTGTTAATTTCAAAAAAAAATATATAAATTATTTTAAACTTAAAATAATTTATTGATTTAAGGAACAAAGACTTGGAATCAATTTTTTCGAATAAAATTATAAAAATCAAATGTTAAAAAAAACTAAACAATCAAATTAATATTTTCTCCAAAATACTTTTTTGAAAACCTGGAAAAATCAACTAATAACCTAAAGAAATACTTTTCAATTGAATTATTTTGATTCAATAATTAAATACTCGATCTTAATTTTTTCAGTGGGTAATTAACAACCTAAAAATTAAATATATCAAATAGATTTTACAATTATTTCTTAATTTTTTAAAGATTTTCAAACAAATAAAACGTAATCCGAATTAATAATTCAAATAATAATAAAAAAAAAAATAAAAATAAAAATATTATCAAACAACTGATTTTAATACAAACGTTTCCTTGTTTATACTCTTTGTGTTTGAAAAAAAATATTGACTAATCTTTTAAATTTCAGGAAATTTACAAAATATTTATGAATACAGTCAGTTCCAACTAAAAGTGACAAATTTTCAACTAAATTTAATGCACATTAAAAATCTCAAATTAAGGCTTATAAATTGAAATTCTAGTAAAATAGAGGTAAAAAAAAAAATTCCAAAAAATGTGCCTTTATTTGAGATTTTATTGTGCCTTAAATTTTTGTTTAAAGTTTGTGACTTAAAAGTGGAACTTACTGTAAAATAAATGATCATTTTTTTCGATCTAACATGATTTAATTTTTGATTTATTTTTCATGTATTTTTTTAATTAGATTTAAACTTTAAAATTATTCTTAGAAAAAATACACAGAAACTCTTTAACATGACTAATCAAAATTCTGAAATTTACTGCGCTTGTCGGGATATTTTTAATCAAAGCTCTTATGGTTAGAAAAATTAAGGTAATAAAGAAAAAATAATAAAAATAAAGTGAAAACAAAAAATCTATTAAAAAATAAAAAATATATAAATTCAGGCACCCAGATCCCCCACTCCTGAGATTCGTGGAATACCAATTATTAATCACGTAATGTGGAATTTTTATCTTTAACCGATAAAATTTCTATCGGGTTTTTCTCCTCCTGAGTATTCAGGACGTGGATAGTTTCTATTTGTTCATGAAAATGATAAATTTATTTTATATATATATTTTAATTATTTTTCTTCTTTTCTTTTTTTTTTGATGATTTTTCTTTAATTACTCCTTTCTATAAAGAAATAAATAAATAAATAAGATTGAAACTTTCAATGGTCTTTGTTCATAATTACTTTCTGGAATTACGAATGATGAGATTTCTTCCAAATAAAAAATTTTTACAAGTATTTCTTTTTCTTTTTGTTACAAAAAACCACAAAAAACAATAATCAGAGTATTTGACAGAAAATTTAATTGGGAAAGATGAACTCTTTTCAAAATGATAATAAATTTCTCTGTAAAGTTGATATATGAATTCTAATATATCGGGTTTAATTATATCCTTGTTTAAACAATAACTTTATTACCTTTCGGAAAAAAAATAAAGAAGAGTTACTAGTCCTATAAGGAAATTTTTTAAGATTTTTTTGAATTCACCAATATTTGAAATAAATTAATAATAAAGAAACACCAATAACAAGATACAATATATTGTAACAAGACGATAGTAACCTTATCTATTTTTTGAAAATATGAATTGTAAAAAAGTTCAACAGGGTTTTTTATTGGGAAAACTAATAGAACCTGAAAATTTAATATCGAAGTTCTATTAATATAGGAAAAAATAAATAATTAAAGAATAAAAATGAATTACTTAATAAAATAATAGTTTTTTAACTGCTATATTTTTGGTATTGATATTTCTTTGATCGATCAATCATTAAAAATTTGTTCAAAAAATTGACTATTTTTTTAAGATCTACAAAACCACTCGAATGATTTTGATAAAAAAGTAGATTTATATTTTTTTTGTTGGATTGATTGAAAATAATATAAAAGATAATAAAAAAGTTGAAAAAGATTTATCTTTGGAACAGAACCCTGGAAATGAAAAGTGTAATCAATTAACAGAAGTAAAAATTAATTATTTAAAACAAAATAGAGGATTTAACACAATGAAATTTTTGAATAATACTACCACTTTCAAAATAAAAAGATCAAATTATTAATTATTATAAAAGGAAATAAAAATTATTTAAATTAAGTACTAAATACAGTATATGAAATTATTATCATATTTGGTTTAAAACCTAATAAACACAAAACAGAAATTACTCAACATTTAAAAAAATTAAATATTTAGGCAATAATTGAGATGAAATCTCACCTATTGTCCATAATTTAAAATAATAAAAAGAGACCTATAACAGCTCTGAATAATTATTTAACTACAATTATCTGAACAAAAACGTAAAAATAAGATTATTTAAAAAGTTTTAAATTAAGTCAATTGACAAATGGATTGGATTTTTTTTATTATGAGATAAAAACTTTAAATTAACTTAAATTCTTGGATTAATTCATATATTACTGGAATGTGTAAAATAAACAGAAACACACAAATTCTTATTTACAAAAGAGAATTTTAATATTAAAAATATGGAAATTTTAGTTGATAAAAAAAAATTAAAATTCAAAAAAAAATTTTGAAAATTTATCTCTTCCTTATACGACAATTATTAAAATTTAATCAACAAAAAAACAATAAAATCGATTCAAATTCTAAAGATTTACTTTATTTGAAAAAAGAAATTTATAAATATACTTATAATGAATTATTGAATTTCAAGAGCTGGAAATGTTGTTAGGTTTTTTTTAATTTCAGAAATAACAAGTAAATTTGAGAAATTTTCTTTTTATTTCTAAAATTAAAAAAAACCGAGGCACTCTACCACACTTGGCTACACTTTTAGTTATGTTTTTCAAAATTTAAAAGAATAGAGTAAAATCAATGATTTTGCGTCATTCTTTTTAATAAAAAAGTTCTATTG